CAAGCGACCCAATCTTCAAACGTTGTCCTTGCCCTCTCCCACCCTCTTTCTCTCTCTCTTCCTCATTCTCTCTCTTCCTCTTTATCTCTCACCCTCTCGATCTTTCTCTCTCCAATTTTCTCTCGCGGTTTTGTTCGTTCGCACGCCCACGTCGTTCCACCTACAACGGCGGTATATCTCTTCTACCCAGCTTTATCCCTTGGTCCTTAATCACCTAAGCGCACAGGGAAGCGTTGAATGTCCCGAAGAAATCGTCATTTCTTCCTGTTTCGATAAGGAGCATGGACGTGTTCCGCACCTTCAGTTTAGTTCCTTCTGTTGGGTCGTAGATTGAGATGGAGCAGCTCTAGTTAACTATCGAAAGAATGTTCGCGCAAAAGTGTGTTTCGTGCACCACTCGCTCTGTGACATGTGATACGCTACTAAAGGTTTCCTGTCTCACGCTGTGATCCGATTCTCGAGACGGAAGTCTCAAATGTTGACAATGTGATCTGCGAAATTTCTTTGCGAATTGATTTATTTTTCTTTGCTGAGTAACCCAACGGGATAATTGAAAGTTATCACACATAAAATCGAACAACAACGACATTAATAATAGTATTAATATTTCAATTGTTCTTCCATAATAATTTTTTATTATGAGACGGATAATTTAACACTTTTATAAATTATACATAAGCATACTTTTATAAATATACTTTTTTATAAATATATAGGCAGAATTGTAATAAAGAAACATTTTAATTATGTGTTTACTCAAATATTGTGTAATCAAATGTCTCGAATTAAATGTTCTAAGTTATTTAATTTTAACACGCATTTTTCTAAGTAGTTAATTAAATTAAGTAACATATAAAGATAAAAAATGAAAATTAATTTTGTAATTATTAATACGCATGTCGCTAGATTCGTTGAGTCTATTGTTTTAAATTTGTATCTGATATAAGATTAAAATTTAAGAAGGAGGTTAAAAATTATATGAGGTTAAAATTATATTATTAAACACAAAAGTTTACACACACACACGCGCGCACACAATTGTATGCGTTAGA